TTCCTGCCAGGAAACCCTAAGGCGTACTCTAATTTTGGACCTATTTCATAGGAATTCCTAGAGACCAGTCCTGATGCACTGGAAAAAGTTTAACATGGGCAGTGGTTCAGAGCACTGGGTGCTTTGCACTCGGGGCCCCAGAAGCAGGACGGTCACTCCAGCTCAGGCTGGAAAAACACCACACTCAAATCCTCTATCTGTATTCAAACTTTCAAGATAGGGTTTTATAATGTGCATAAATCATCAAACTTTGAAAAAACTAAAAATACTTACATTTCTCCAACATAAAACATTGGTTTTATCCCAATACTTTTCAATGGAGAAATGTCCACAGATCACACTTGGGTTTCAGGGCCAGGACCCAGGGAACTGGGCAAGGAGAGGATATCTGGGGTGCCAGCTCTGTGAGCAAGCCCTCCCACTGACTGCCCTTCATTTGATAAGCAGCATCTGCCAGGGCAACTGTAACAACTGATGTCCCCAGGAGAGCCCATCCCAGTCCTCAGTACAGGTCAAAAAGACACCAAGAATTCCTTCCCTGCTTTTACAGTCTCTCCATTTAAAACGGGGTTTTATTTCACAAACTCAGTTCTTAGCCACTGCTTGGTTTGGGTTTAAAACACTGCATCCACTTCTCTTCTCCAGAGTTAGCAGTCTAACAGCTGTAATAGAAAGCCGTAGACCAGCTGTTTCTAGATGGGAAAGACTGTGAGCTTTCATTGTGGAAACCACAGCACTCTGACAATGGGGTTCTAGATGAAATACAGAGCACGCCTCTTCTAAACAGTACCTGACAGGTGGAATATTAATTACCCTCTCACATGCAGGAGCCTTCAACCGACAGCTACAATCAATGCCGCCAGGCTTGGGTCTGGCAGGCAATCAGGTACTCTGTTAAACCAAGCCACAGGTAACATCATGTAAGCTTTTCCACCCCTGCCACCCTCGAGTCCTATAGCACTAGAGGAAAAGGAAGAGACGCCCTGCTCAGATCCAACTATAACATCTGGGCCCTTCTAGCAGTCACCTTCATCTTCTCAAGCATGCCAACATAGAACACTTACTATCCTAAGCGTATCACTTCAGAGATTCCTGGTTAGCATTATACCGCCTTTCCTTAATAAAATGCACCTGTGACAGAAACAAGCACCAACAATCACAACAAGTCAGAGGTTTATGCAGCTTGGGAAGTTCCAGCACAGGTCTTCCTAAGCAGCCCGCGGCCAGCTTGCCTTCCCACCAAAGAAATCCCGGCTGATGGAATACTTGCTGCAACCGTGCAGCGAGCACAGGGAGATGGGGAGACATGTGATTCACAGACCTAGCAAGAGCAGCACGGTGGGACACCTATCTGGACACACGCTCCTCCTTCCCATCTTCAGTGCATGGAGGACTCCTGCGACACCTCCTCGCAGAGGAGACGGACCTGAGGCCAGCCGCTGCTACAGATCCCTCTAGCTCCCTCCCCTCCATCGCATCACCGTGTAGGACGGATGAAGGACCTTCTTCCACGCTGCCTTACATTACTGCATGCTTAACTAAGAAAATTCTAAGTATCTGATAGGAGTTCATCGGCAACTATTGATCACAAGACAGAACATCTGTTTATTCCCTGTAAACTTACACTTAAGGCATGTGTTTTAGATAAAGACTCGCACACACAGAAACATGTCACCATCACTACACTGCCTGTCAAACTGGAAGCAGGTGTTAAAGGGGTAACATAGGCAATGGCATATACACACAAAATGCTGACATGAAAACATCCACGTGCAAAGGATCAAAATCGATGTATTTTCCCATTGGCTCCTCTATGCTAGAAAACAAACTCAACTTGTGCACAGGGCACAATTGCCAATACGCCTACAGAAGTATCAGTTAAGAAGTAATGGGATCATTGCTTCTTGGCTTTTGGCTAAGATCAAGTGCAAAAAGGGATGGCATAAATACACAGAAAGGATACTGGAGAAAAATTAAACTGAACTTGAAAACTGACAGATACTTGTTATTAGTAAGTCATTAATACCAAGAATAGTGGCATACACCTGCAATTCCAGGATTCAGAAGCGGGAGACCAGAGGATCACTGCAAGTTCTAGGCCAGCCTGGGCTACAAAAAAAGATCCTGTCTCAAAAACAAACAAATAAACAAAGAAACAGAAACACTCAAATAGAAATAAATCACTGATAATATTTCAAGAACCAATACTGATATTTTAATTTAAAAATTTTAAATATCCCTTACTTCTGAAAAATTTATAGATAATTATGTGACCTACTTCAAATAGTAAAGAATGAAGAAGAGGAGAGTAGCGGGTGAGGGAACAGCTATAAGATAATAACTAATTAAACTAAGGTAGGTATATGCGAAATTGTGTGTGTGTGTGTGTGTGTGTGCGTGTGTGTATCTTGCTGTCAAATATGCTTAGTGGCTGGCAGTATACATAAGGTCCTGAATTTAGTCCCCAGCACTGTGTGTGTACATGCACACGCATGTAGTTTTCTAAAATGAAATAATATGAACTGCTTCTTCAAGAGATCACATCAGTCTTTTAATTAAATGTTATATATATAAATTATTTACATCCAGCACTATTTGGACTTGGGGATATTAACAACAAAAGGAAAAAATAAAAAGAAGTCATAAAGTTGAGAGGGAGATGGGTTGGGGCACGAGGGGAAACTGGAAGAAGGTAACATTGGACGGATATGGTCAATATACACTGTATAAATATTAGAAACTTTCAAGGAATAAAAATTATAGTTTAAAAATTATTTGAATAGGGGCTGGAGAGGTGATTCAGAGGTTAAGAGCACTGACTGCTCTTCCAGAGGTCCTGAGTTCAATTCCCAGCAACCACATGGTGGTTCACAGTCATCTGTAATGAAATCTGGTGCCCTCTTCTGGCCTACAGGATATATGTATACATAATAAATAAATAAATCTTAAAAAACTTTACTTTAAAAAAATAACATAAAAATTACTCAAATAATTCATACTAGTATTTATTAGCAAAAAGGTACATTTAAGCATATTCAGAAGGCTAAATGAAAAATTAAATTCAATAATTGCCCATTTAAATTTGCCTAATGAGTTTAGGAAATTAAATGGTATTACCATGAAGTCTGCAGAGTTGGTTCAAGGAGCTGTAAGGTGCCATAGTTTACTTTCAATTGAGAAAAAGCTATGAAATGAACTAGGTAAAGCTTATAACTAATATTCTCTCTACTGAGGAAGTTCTACACACACTCTCAAGAAAAAAAAAACTAGAGGGATCTGATTACATGTAAGCTTTTCACCTTTTCTTTTGAAATGCTGATTTTAAGCGCAGAAATACAAATATATATAGCAATGCAGAACATGAAGACAGCAGGAAAGAGCACTTGTCTAATTCACACAGTGTCATGCATGGAGGAAAGCAAGATTCAGATCTTTGGGTGATAGAATACTGGAGATCAGCTCTCTCAGGTAGAAGTGGCATCAGACTTTCAAGGATGTTGTTTTCAAACAAGCAAGCAGAAATACCCCAGAAATTTGTATACTTTCATACTAAATTATCTCTTCAGACTGTTTCTCACAAGGGCAGGTAAGACAGTCCACTGTCAGAGGCATTCTGTGTGCAGCCAGTGAGCGACGGCGGTGTTGAGCGCCATTATCACGGCTCCAGAAACCTTTTTTGTCCTCCTGCCGCCAGGCTAGGTACCCTGGTACCCCGCAATATGATTTCATAGTCTCTCTGCACTTCCCAACCTTTGCACAATTATAATCAAACCTACTTACAGCATCTGAAAATATTTTTTATGTGTTCATAAACCCAAAGCTGCAGCAGGTCTGCTTCCCACTGTCCTGGGCTCTGGCAGGACACTGACGATGCAGCCTGGCTACATGTGACCTGTACTCCGTCTTCTGCTGGCAGAGAACTGGGCAGGCATATCCAGTCCTTAACCTGTGGGCTGCTTGAGCCACATGACAGCCATGAATGTAGCTATCACATAGCCATAAATTTACATAAAACTGGATTTGTTTTGTTTGTCTGTCTATTGGGTGGATTTGTTTGTTTTGCTTTTTTGACTCTCAAGATTGAGAACTTGAACTTTGTAGAGCACAATTTTCTGTCATAATGTCAAAATGCTGGGTATGCCTGAGTAGAAACTAGTAGATGACAGATGTTAAAAATTTTCTGAGGTTCTGATGGTCAGTCTATGGAACTGAGTGGACTGAAAAATGACTGCCTGGCACTCTGAAGATTTCCAAAGACTGTCCATATCATATGCTGTCAAAACCAACTGTCTGAAATACTCTTCTCAGTTACCTTCCTTCAGAAGCTTTGTCGTTTTCCTTTTACTCACTTGTTCTGGCACTGTTGCTGTAACTGCCTAGTTGCATGTCAGCACATTGCCCTTCCTCTTCCAGGGACCCCAGGAGGCAAGGCCTGCTTCTCTTATACCCAGCACTGTCTGTCTAGCACTTGGTACCCACCTGGTCCACAAGTGACCCGACAGGCCTGAAGAAGAGGGGACCTTACCAAGGACTAGTGCAGCTTCTACCGCACCATGCACTGTGCCATCCCCTTGTAAAATTTAACTCTCCCAGCAAAGAAAAAAGTTTTGCCAATACTGCTGGACAACCCAAACCACAGATTTATTAAGAGTGCTCTCCCTTATTTTTGGCACCCACTGGTAGGTAGAGTGCTAAACAGTGGGGCACGGGGCCAACAGCAATGACGACAGCTACCAATATCAGGAAAATCTCAAGCTGGGCGGTGATGGCACATGCCTTTAATCCCAGCACTCAGGAGGCAGAGACAGGCGGATCTCTGAGAGTTCGAGGTCAGCCTGGTCTACAAGGTTCTAGGACAGGCCCCAAAGCTACAGAGAAACCCTGTCTCGAAAAACAGAAAACAAACAACAACAACAAAACAAACAAACAAACAAAAAAATCTCGTCACCATTCTATTAACTACTAAGCACTAACAAGTAAGCTGGAAGAGAATCTCTTGCCTTTTAGGCTCTTCATGTGGCCCTCTTTGCAGTCTTGCATGAGCTTGAGCGTCCACTTGTGCTGAGCTCCGATACACTGCCAGGCAGGGTCACCAGGCGCATGGAGGTCAGAGAGATACCTGAAAGAGCAAAGGGCAAGAGGCCTCCTGTTATAAGAGCAAAGGCAAGGACTGCTGTAACAGCACTACCATTTTTTAAAGAAAAACTAAAACTCAACTAACTAGAAAAGCAGTTGTCAATATTTGCCTTTAATATTTTGTTCATAATGAAATGTATTAAATTGTTTTCACTCAACAGAAAATGATAAAGCTGTGGGTTTTTCCCTTTTTAATTTCATGTATACGCACACGCCCATATTATGTATATAGTGTCCCTGGTGTCTGTGGACTTCCAAAGATGGCTGTGGGTTCCCTGGCACTGGCAGCTGTGAATGTCTATGTGGTTACTGGAAATCAAGCCCAGGTTCTCTAGGAGAGCAGCCAGTGCTCTTAACAACTGAGCCATTTTTTGCAGACCCAGCTGCAGGCTTTTAATTCATCTCTTTACCTAAGTCAAGAACACTTAGAACTTAAGAACACTTCTTCACATTTCAACTTATTCTCACTTTCTTATTTAAAGAAAAATAAGAAAGAAAAACAAAAGGGGTAGGTAGAGGGAGAAGGAAAAGGGGGAGGGAGAGAGACAAACAGAAAGATGAGGAGAGTCGGGGAAGAAGAAACCAGCGGACCAGAGTGCACAGAGATCCACTGGCCATCCCTCTAATCTACTCCACTCCTATAAACCACATTACAGTAAGCATTAATCAAGACCCACAAAGCAAAGCTGTTCAACCTAAACCTGGGGTGGGTTTTGTTCTTTTTTTTTATTTTTGAGAAAGAGGGAAAAATTAACTTTACATTTAAAGTCACCTCTCTCATGTGTTTCATTACTGGATAGTTATTTCATTTAACCTAGGTGGGAGCCAGCAGAGGGCACTGAGTGGAAAATCTCCCCCTTTCTGGTATGAAATATGGCCACTGGATGGCAATGTGACACTGTCCTGCGATGTCGTATGTTAGAGGCCACTGAAACTTAAGGTCTCTAACAATATGCACTTACCTCTAGGGCGTAAACTAATTCACAACTGAGGGACAATTTCTCTATGAAATGTAGTACAGATGGACATTTTCTTAACTTTCAATAGTTCTTAAAATATTTAAAGTTTTCTTTGCACAAGAAATACCCACATCCATCTAAAAAATTTAAATATATTTCAACTGAAATTTTTCTGTCAAACATTACTTGCTTGGCTCTGAGCCCTTGTATAATACACACGTGCCAACTCCAGAAGCACGCTCGAATGGGCTTACCGCCCTAAAATAGTTTCTAACCCTCAGCTTCTTTTGTCTTGAGGTTAAAAATTTGTGGTCCGTGATAAATGTTCATTGATGGTTACAAGCTGTGACCTTAGCCAAGTCCTAATCACCGTGGGGCATGCCCGCATTTCTTCAGGAGTGGGTACTCATTACTCAGACATCTCAATTAGCAGCTAATCAGTGGAGAAACAAATCCATTTTGTAATAAGTTCACAACAAACAAGATGTTGAGCAGAATCCTGGTATGCATTTAGGAACGCCCCTCGCCAACCCTGACTCTCAGGAGCTAATGGCCCAGAGGCCTGACTCCCCAGGGAGCAGCAATTCTGCCTGCCAAGCACTGAGATGGTTGTCTGTTCTCCCTGCAATTGTCCAGGGGCTGCAAACAGTTGTGTCTATGTGCTGAGTGGGAGGAAGCCAACTTAAAGGAAGGATTTACCCATGTAAAGAAGGCACCTAAGAGCCTTCCTCATTTGTGAGAACACAATCCTCAGAAGAAAACCACATTCCAACAAATTACATTTAGCTTACTATGAGGAATTCAATCCAAACAAGCTCCCCAAATCCAATCTGATTTTTCCTCTCCCACAGAGCTTGACTCTTTTATTAACTGGGATATAAATGCAGCAAATAGTAGTTTGTGTCTTTCCTTTCCTAAGAACACACGATCTGTTCTTTCCCGCGAGAACAGCAGTTGCAACACTCTCCCTATCAGTATGGCTGCCGTGCATCTGGACACTGCAGCGCACCTAGCACTTCCGTTCACCCCGAGTTCTCTGTCCACAGCAACGCAGAGCACGCTCCCTTACAGAAGCTGCTGCCTTTCCACCCTTTCCACCATGAAGACACTGGCTAAGAATGCAGTCACTGTAGCACTGGGGCCCTTAAGCAGGAGACCAGTAAATTTGCTTTGTAACTTTTAAAATTCTAAATCTCTTTAACATATACACTATGGCCCTGAATTTTTTAATAATCCTCTATTAGCTTAATATGAAACCGAAGGCTCTTAGAAATATTTATGAAGAAAAGTGAAGTTCCTGTCTCAAAAACCCTAGGGAATGTTTCCGTTAGAAAGTGTGATGTTCTGTTCTAGACTCCAGTACATCTCTTTTCATTTTAATACAAAGCTTAAAACTGGCAGTTTCATTACAAAGATCTTTGTTCAGAAGGTAGAGGTTATTGCTTTTCTTTTTAATGGCATATTGAAGAACATTTTTGAAAGAGGCTTTCTAGGAAGGTAGGGAGATAAAGACTCTTAATTCTGACGAGCACAGATTAAGTGTTTTAGAATTTAAGGAGGCACATGTTCAATGAGAATGGGCTCAACTCTGGGGAAAATAAAGGAAACCCAAAAGCATTTTCAGCCATTTTCTTTGGTGACTGAGCTGCTCCAGAAGCAGGGCCACACTGCCACAGAGAGAGAAGAGAGGACGCTCTGCTTCTGGCTGAGCTACAGGGAGAGGCTGTCTTCAGTTCCGCCTGGGGGGAGTTGGGCAGCACAGCAGTATACACGGCAGCGACAATCTGACACATGTGGCTGTGTCCAGGCTGTCTGGCTTTACCTGGTGCTCACAGGCCCTATCACCGCAGACATTAAAGCCAAACAGACTTGACCTGGCTCTGATCTCATTTTATTTTTCTATTCATTAATGCTAAAAATGTGGTTTTTAAGGATAATCACCAGATTTCTCAGTGCCTTCTCAATTTTGGACTCAGGAGTTCAGTGTACAGCTGGAAGCAAATTTAGCTCGTTCATATGTGACAAGGGCGCTAACCCTCTGGGGCACTTGGCTGATTCGTACCGAGTTTACTTCTACTCTCTCTGCATCCAGAAAAGTTCCTTGTGTATACATTTCCTCAGACAGGCAAGGGGGGCCTGTGACACCAGGGAAGCAGGTGTCCGGGCTGTGTGTGCTGAACAAGCCCAGGTTCCTCTGCCCACTTCGGCCCTTTGGCCAGAAAGAAAACACAGATAGGACCCAGTCCAGTGTGACCATAGCCTGCATTTCCCAGCAGCAGCAGCAGCAGTCAGTTTCACTGCTCTCTGCTCCATTGCTAAACCCTGTCCTACATCTGCTCCCACCGCTCCCATCACTAGAAAACATTTAAGTGCAGGTCATTAGTCCCTCCCAACAGTGTTGGGGCAAGGCCATCTTCCCAGGCCTAAAGACAGTATTTTCAATGGCCACAGGCAAATGTGTACAAATATGTAGTCTATTTCATTTTCAAGTTACTGAATTTTTAGTAGATTTCACTAAAGAAGTCAGTGAATTTGGGAAATAACAGTTTCTTCTAAAAACAGACCACACTTATGATAGCCAAGCAGAAAATAAGTCAGTATTTTTAAATCCCAGATTAAAAAAAAAAATCTTATGGTTTATGTTTCATCTCCAAGTGTGTAAGTTATGCACAGATAAAACTTACAGCCTGCTCCTAACACTCCTTGGATGGATCACCTTCCCAACAACCCTGAGACGCGGGTCTGTTGCCTGTTGTGTTCGCTCTGCAGATGAAGAAACTGAAGGGCACCTGTGCGAGCTGCCCAGCATGAAAGGTTCGTTTCTACAGACATGCTCGGTCCTCAGCTTCTCTACCACCCCGAGAGGCCATCTCTTCTAATTCTAATGGTTATTTTTTAAAGTATTCCCAACCTAATATTACCACAACTGCTTCTTTCAATGATCACTACAGGCTTATAAACTGACATATTTTCACAGAAACATCCCCACACCCTTGGCTACCGTCCAGCCATCCCTGAGCTCTAACCTCCCACAGTGGAACACCTACTTACGGAGCACCCAGACCACCTGGAAGTCAGATGGAGAAACAGGTGACTGAGCGGTGAAATTGTTTTTCCTTTGGTCAGCCTGGCAGGTCATCTTTCCTTCTCATAACTGCTACCTATTTATTCATATTCAAGCAATGTTCATGTCCTATACCAAATACCTCCAAATTTCTATTGTCTTCCCTTTCACTACTTCATTACTTTCCTGATTGCCCCAAATAAGCTTTGCAAGTTTCACAATATATCCCATACATATACACAATCTGTCATAATTCTTGCAGAAGTTTTACCTTATGTAACGCTTTTGGTCATGTAAGGTTGATGGAGTCTCGAGCAATTTCTTTAGAAGTAATTCTCTTAGATCTTCAATTCCTGCTTCTACTTCAGCATAATCTATTTTTAAAAGATACAAGATTTACAGAACTGAACTTAAAATCAAATTTCAGAAAGTGGAATACTAGTTGCTTTTTGATTGAGAAGACACACAAGGGACCTTTGTGGAGGGATCAAAACACACCATCCCAAGTGTACGGGAGGCACAAGCATTCGTCAGAACTCAGTGACCTGTAACATGTAAGGTCTGTGCATTTCATTGCATGTAAGTTTCACCACAGTAAAGAAATAAATTCTGCTTTTTGAGACCTTATGGGTTTCATTCTTTTAAATTTAATAAGATCTATGGTATTTCTCCTAGTTAATAAGTTCTCAGCCATAAGATATTTAAGCTCTTCTTTTGTAAACCTGGTATTCAGAGTAATTTTTAGAAGTATTGAGCTTGCTTTAGAGTAAGATTAGAACTCATAAATACTCTGTTTCAAGACTGAAATGCATGTTTCCACATCTCTAAAATGCTTGTCACCGCTTCCTTCTAGTATGAAAGCTTTCACTAGCACTGTGGTTAGTAAGCAGCAGAGTGTCTAAGACCAGCGCCCACCATACGTGCTCATTCCCACTGCATAGCAGGAAGAAAACTTGTGACCTTATTTTGAACCAATTGTTTTACATTTTAAAGACAGCACCACATAAACGAGATCTAAGATGCAAGCAGCACTCTTTGTAGAATATACACGCCACATCCTTCTTAAAACAGCAAAGGAAAGGTCTAGAAGTAACAAAAAAAAAAATCTTACATTTCTTGAAAACTTGCACCTCTGTTTTCCCAAAGAGTGACTTGGCTTTTTCATAATCATTAATGACCACATCATAATCCCCCTTGAAAAGAAGAAGCACCGTGAGATCGTCAGGAAAGAGCAGTAAGCACACTGGTTAATCTAAAATACCTTAAGGCAGCTTTAACACGGGCAGCATCTATGGCTGCACATACTCTACCTTCTGAATGTTCCGTTTAATATTGAGAGGAAGGTTGAAGAGAAATTTAAATCGCTGCAGCACATTGAGGGCATTCCTAGTGGAATCGGCTTTGTCTTTTCGACCTAACACTTCTTGAAATAATGTGTCAGCAGTGTTACTCGCTCCTGTTTCCAACAGAGGAAAAGAACATAGGTGACAGTGACCTGAATTTGAACACAAAAGCTACCTATATAGAGATCTTTCACGGTTTACTAAAATAAAATGTTTTATAAGTCCTTTCACATGTTAAGAATGGTATCTAATTAAAAGCAACAACATTTACTAAGCCTAAGTAATTTTTTCCAATGTGACTCTAAACTTATTTTATCTACTCGTCGAAATTTTTTACCAATTGTGGGTGCTTAGGCTATTTCATTATTTTGGAGAATGAGGAACACACACACCAGTTAAGTTTTATTAATTGTATATCACACTATCAGGAAATAAATTAGAGAAGGGAAACTGTTTTCAGAAAAAGCTCTTAAGAACAGTCATGACAACTAACCCTACTTCTTGACAGAATTATCTATCCCTCTGCTGCAGGCACAGAGAATTATATAAACCTAAATGACAAAACCTTAACACAGCGTCATTACTGTTTCTTAAATCAGCTGAATCTAATAAAATTAGGTACAAGCAGGACATTTCGTAAGATTCTTTCCTTTAAAAAGCACAAATTATATGTATCACTTTAATGAATGCTGTTTTTCTAAGACAAAATTTGCTATACAAAAAACAGTTTAAATTTTGAAACATGTGAATTATTTTAATTAGCTATGAGGAAAAAAGAGAGAGAGAGGATAAACTGCTTTCAGCTGTCTGACCTGCTTGTAAAAAGTTTCTACATTATCTGGTCTAGTGACTATACTTTAAGCAAAGATGAAAACCTCACCTCGTCTCACTGGGTGGCTTGCACACCATAGCCACACTGTGGGTGGCCTGATCCTGTTAAAAGTCGTCTTTGTAACATGATTGTTTTATCTAAATAATGTTTAAATTCTGTTGAAATTTTAAAGGTCTGATATAAAAACTTCGTTTGGTCAAGAGCGCTGTCTTTCCCACATGTTATTTAATGTGCATACTAAACCTCTATTGTGGGATGAGAAGTACATTCCCTTCTTCCCACCAGGCCACGCAATGAAGGCTTGAGCGAGTATTTGAAAGTTGATTAGAATTTTAAAACTTTCTTCAAGAAAAACTAACTTAAAGCACTTGTTTATCATTTTAAAAATACAAACTTCGTGAGTTTAAGTTTGTAATTGGATAAGCTCATGGAACAGAATTTTTTTTAAAGACTACTTATTTATACGTGAAGTTTGAGTCTTACACCAGCAAATTCCTTTTTCTATGCAATGAAAGAATTTGAAGCTAACAGTCTGAGTTCAAAATTGAATTATTCTCATCATTTTAAAGTAACAAGAAATTTTCAGCTAATAATTTTAACTCCAAAAATATGAAAATAAGAACCTATAGAAAACACACTGTTAAATAACATCTATACATTTTCTAGAGATAATTTTGTAGGAAGAAATTATAAGCTATGAAAAAATTTAACTTACACCAAAATTTGTGAACTGGGAATTTGAATTTATACAATGTTGAAAATTATATAGACAACTTTTGTAAAAATTATGATACTGCCGTGATTTTTACGGCATCCACAATAAAAATTTAGTTGTTATAATTCTGACAACTGGGAGAGACAGTAAATGATAAAATATATGAGCGTAATGAAACCAGGATCTACACAGCAGATACAACCAGCAGCAGCCCCAAAGTGCTCTAAGTGTCTTTCTTTCCTAGGACGTAAGCAGACCACAGCACCGTGCAGGAGAGCGGGACTAGTGATGAAGACAAAGACATCATCTGGGTGTCCAAAAAATCATCTGAGGGAAATCCTGCGTGTGTGCTAATCCACACATACCTGCTCCACCCTCACACAAAGAACGCTCAATCTGAAGACAACTGGTAAGCGTTTGGGTGTTCAGTGAGTGGCCACAGAACAAACGTATCTGGGTTGGATGGCCATGCCTTTGACCACAGGCGCCAATAGACTGGTACTGGGTCTCAAACACCCTTCCTCCTTAACTGGGAATGGCCCTCATGAGTTGATTTGGACAAAGAGTATCACTGCCTCACAGTTACACATGAGCCCCAGGGAAAACGTAATGGCAAAGCTACCATGCCCACCATAGCGGCCACTACAAGCGGCTGGACTCACAGAACAGTAATATGTGCCCCAGCGCAGCAGGGGAAGCAGTTGCTGTCACACTCCACACTGATCCATTACATGCATACCTGTCTCTTACGGCCACCAGAAAATCTAGTTTTGTCATTCTGACTGTGGTTTATAATTTCAGGCATGTTTATTTAAAGTAGACATTATGCTGTCTCCTATTTCAAAGTGACCACACTAGTCCCTTTCTTTGTACTGACAACTTGAGATGTGAGATCATAGAAGTGATTGCTGTGTGTGTGTGTGTGTGTGTGTGTGTGTGTGTTTTGTGTTGTGCCTCATGGGAATACAGGAGCTGGAACAACACAGGAGTTCCCAACCATCACACAGTTTGTTCCCAGGGAAAGACAAGCTATGTGAGAGTAGAAAAGCAAATGTGAAAGCAGCTGGAGAGTTAAAACACCTCAAAAATGCACACTGACATTGGCAAAGGCAGGGCCCCCCAAAGACCAAACCTACTTTGAGTGCCTCTGTTTCAACAGGCGCCAGGATGACTAGCTAGCTGCTCTCTCTAACTGACTGCTAGAACAGAATGCCTGAGACAGTGTACACTGCTTACTCAGACAGCATGCCACAGCCGGGGGCCTTACAGATCCACATCATGCACACGTGCGCGCGCGCACACCAACACACACACAGGTGTCACCAGGAATGAGAGAGCTGACGTTGGTAACTCTCATGAACCAATTGGTTTCAATACAAGCTTGGGAAAGTCTAAAATTTGGGCTGTCCATCTTTTTTCTTTTCTGAATACAACTTAATAAATACATAGCAGCCAATCAATTAGTAGAACTCAGTTTCTTTCTCACAGACTTGATTCTTATTTAGTGTTCTAAGCCTCTGGCCTGGTCATTTCATCTTATACATACTACTTGGATTAAAATACTCTGTCTCACTGCTTCAACTACCATTGCTACACTGCTAACCCCAGCTGTGTATCTCGGGATGTGTTTGTAAATTTAAGAGTAAATCTTTACAACATTTTCACTAGACATACGATGGCAGCTCACATGCTTGCTTCCCAAGGCATGCTACTACAAAGGCAGCACACACACCACTGTGCACATGCTCACACCACTCCAAGACTGACAAGGCTTCTTCTCACTTCAGAGTGCAAACAAGTCACCTCACCTCATCTGCCCAACACTTTTTAAATATTTTAAATTTGTTCTTTGACAATTTCATATATGTATACAATGTGACCATATGCCCCCATCATTACTTTCTATAACTCACCCAGCCCCTCCTAACACATGTTCCTCCTAACTTCAGATTTTTTAAACCTATCACCTTTGTACATTTTTTATTAACCTCATTGAGTATAATTAGTGCTATCCGTATACACAAAATGTGGGGCTATCCACCGAAGCATGAAAACCTACCAATGGCCACACTGTTGCAGAAACATGCCTCTCTCCTACAGCAGCCATCAGCTGCATCAACAACACCTCAGCTAAGGGTGGAACCTCATGAGCCCCTCCCCAGTCCTCGCTGGAGTCTTGATGGCTTTCATCTTGTGCAAGTTCTGTGCAAGTTAAACCCAAGGGTCTGTGAGCTCCTAACAATACTGTCCTGGGCAGGTGACCACAGCGACTGTGAGCTCCTAACAACCCTGTCCTGTGTAGGTGACCACAGCGACTGTGAGCTCCTAACAACCCTGTCCTGTGCAGGTTAAACCCAAGGGACTGCGACCTTCTAACAACCCTGTCCTGTGCAGGTTAAACCCATGGGACTGCGAGCTTCTAACAATCTTGTACTGTGCAGGTTAAACCCAAGGGACTGTGAGCTCCTAACGACACTGTCCTGTGCAGGTGACCACAGCGACTGTGAGCTCCTAACAACCCTGTCCTGTGCAGGTGACCACAGCGACTGTGAGCTAGCTCCTAAGGACATTTCCCAGCACCTGGCCCACATCCTCTGGTTCTTCCAATCTTTTCACTTGCTCTTCCACGACAAAAAGAAGGTTTGCTGACCAACATTGGGAGCAACACAAATCTGTATGTATAAACACACACACACACACACACACACACACACACACACACACACACTTATTGAGAAGGCAGTTTGACAACAGAACTATTTAACAAAACAAGAAAAGGTTTCCCACTAGGATTTAAGACCTTTTCAGCCATGGGTTTCACACCAGGGACAAGCCTAAAAATCCCAAAGACGTTGGTTCCCCCCAGAATTGTCCTGCCACTGTTGCACTGGTGCATATATCTTGTCTGGCGGGTCAGTTTGATAGTATGCTGGGTCCAGTTCTAGGTAAGACTGTATTGATACATTTTCTACTCCAAAATTATTCAAGTCAGGTGGTGGTGGTGCACGTCTTTAATCCCTGCACTCGGGAGACAGAGACAGGCAGATCTCTGTGAGTTTGAGGCCAGCTTGGTCTACAGAGCAAGTTCCAGGACAAGCACCAAAGAAACAGCACAAATGAAAGCTACAGAGAAACCCTGTCTTGAAAAACAAAACAAAACAAAATAAACAAAAAGCAAAATACAAAACTATTTAAAGCTCATTTGCCCAATTCAATACAAGGAGGTAGAGTGAGTGATAGGAAGACAGTCAGTGATCAACTCTCAGGAATTCCAGTCTCAGGTTACACAGAAACTGAAAAGAACTTTTCCTCTATATCTCCTCACCTAACCAGCTCCCTTTTCCTTTGTTTAAGGCTAGAAATGTAAATGTCTCACAGATCATTTTCCTCTTATTATTTTGCACATAGACAACCAATGATCCAATACTGCCACCTTTACATGCCCTGCCATACGTTATTTCATCTGCTAAGCTCACTGACTGTTGCCCTTTACCTGGTCTCCTACTGAATCTACAGTGGTACTACCTAGCCTACTCTCCTCAGCACTCCACCACATGGGGCCCTCACTATGAGCCCTTTAGGGGCTCACCACCTTCAAGACTAATTCTACATTAAGGAGAACTTCACTGGGCTCAGCAGGCATCAGTCACTCCTGACTCACTGCCCTGCAACCTATCTATCCCTTTTCCAGAGCCACTGCCTCCCTTTCAGGCTGCAGGAGACACACCTGTATCCACCTAGCTCACTGCCCACCTGCTGGTCTCTGCTTATCTATCTGGCTGCATCCTACTTCTCTTTTAAGGCACAGTGATGATTTTCCTGTTTCTCACTTTGAGGCTAAGGGGAAATGAGCACTATGCTGAGGATGAACCCAGAGCCTCCCTCGTGCTGGGCAAGTGTTATACTGAGACACTCCACCCCCAGATTCCTTACATTTCAGTTAGGTGCTCTTTGTGTACATTCTAGATAGACCCCTGGATTATCACCAGTAAGACATGCATTGTTGCAAATACTAACACTGCATAATTCAATAACTGGCTTACATGTCTATATTTTCCAAGCAGTTACACACAAAGCACAGGTTCTATTTTTATAGCCCTGTGATATATACTAATGAGTGCTCACTAAATGCTTATAGAACCAAGGACTAAAGCTCAGGATTTGAGACAATGACTGTAAGTCCAGGTCTCTGGCCTCCATCTTTGGAGAACCCGTCCCTATGCCTGCCAAACCTTGACCCCCTCCCCAGAGGAGAGTCAAGACAGTCCGCCAAAATCTTGACCACTCCCCCAGTCTATTTAAACTGTTCCCACGGAAAGTCTCCTCCTGGTCTCTTTCCTCTCCTCCCGGTGGTCACCTGCCTTCACAGCTTCCCAGTTCCCCCTTGGGGCCACCTGAGAAAGCAGGAATCCCATTAAACCTGGATATTTTTTAATTTGGCTTGTTGTGATTTGGCTTGATTGGGATTTTTGTGTCAGCAGAGAGCTTGCTTTAGGAAAATTCCTAACAATGACAAGTATTTTTTTCTACCCAAAGAGGCACAGCACAGTATACAAAGGCCTTATGAGTAACCATGGCAACAGATATACAAGCTGAAACACAGCAAAGTGATTTTAGTAGTCAGTAGGAACTATGTCAGTGCCGGTGCTATATCACCGTTTAAATTACCTAAGTAATCTCATTCTTTTGTACAAATGCTATAACTTGTTGACAACTCCAGAGATGCAAATAACACCCGTGGGGAGAAAGCACCCTTCCAAACCTTCAACAGATCTAGCAGCACTGACACTGAAAAGGCTTTGGGAAATATTTGGTAAAATTCTGAATATATTCATTTTAACAAAGTTTGTAACTTGGTCTCAGAAGCAAAAGCACAGCAAGCCCCAAGGCAAGCAACAACCACAGGAGTGATAAACAAAGGGAAAGGCTTTAAGTCCTGTTAAATGCAGGCTGAGAATGAAATGTCCAAGTATTCCAATTCTAACACCAAGGAAAGCCTACACCAGAGTTAGCACTCTTTCCACAAAATACTTCCTTACTGACATCACTAGAGCTATGAAGAGATGGTTACATAAAGACAGAATGTTCTACTCATGGAACTAAACCAAGCTATAAATACAAAATTAACTTCCTATCATAATCCTGGTTTGAAAAATCTCTAAACATCTATGTGAGGTTGCCTGATTTTTTTTCATCCCTTCTTTATAAGGAAATCATATACTCAAGGAGATTCTTATGGACATCACTGCTTCAGACTGCATATTGACTACATGTGTGAAATATAACTTACATTTAAGACACATTACATACAATAAAAATTAATTTATCTGATGAGTTTCCTCTCAATTATTAGGGCAAGTAGTTTGGAAGGTCAGAAAAGGAACAAAAGGGAAAGTGGAGGAATCCCCAAACGTGGGGTCTGTGGGGCCTATAACTTTTACAAAATGTTTCAGAGTATATCCTGGTGGGGAAACGCAGAGCATACATAAGTAGACAATGCTGGGCAGCTGCTGGGCAGGGGCTGGGGCTCTGCACTGTGCACTGCACATCTGACAGCTGAGACTCAGGTGTCCACTCGGCGGAAACCCTGGCTGCTGTCTCGGTGCCCTTCTGTTCCAGGGCAGCAAATGACAGTTCCTAAGGAGTACAGTAAAATGCAAGCAGGTTCCCTTCACTCTTCCCACAGCCCTCCAGGCTCCTTAAGTCCTTGTTTAGAAGTGAGACTAAAGCACAGCTTGGGAGTGGCCCTGGGAACCCCTCAGCTTGTTACAAAGGCCACTGCTAGTTTTCGGTAGTGGTGCAAACTTACTGTTGAGGACATTCTCCAATCTCTGTGTCATGGATCCTTCTACTTTTTCAGTTCCGTCTGCTTCGAGTTTTTGATGGATAGCTGGGAAAAACAAACACACCTGGTTAAAATATGGGCCACTTCCATGGACAGAAAGATAGTTCATCAAAATAACACTTTGAAGCCATTTTTACAAATTATTCTATCATTTCCACCATTCAAGAGGAACATATATATGCAATATTCTGAAATGGAAAAAAAACCCCACAGATAACAGCATTAACGTCACTCACAGCTTCACATTGTTCAAGCAGCACATAACACACTCGCCTAATCTTAAGACACAGTGAAAAAAAAAAGGAAAAGAGAAAGTGAGATTTCAGGCACTGCAGGTCTTTAGCATGGCCTTCTAATGTGGCCACAGAAAAAAAGTTTTATTTCTCAGCTTTACTTTGTAAAATAGAAGTAACGTTACTTGGATTCTACCAAGCTCAAGAAATTTAATTTGGGGCCCAGACTAGAACGTGGGGAATATATATTACTTCTCTTATATTCACAATAATTTCCTGGAAGTTCCAAGGAAACATTTCGCAACACATATCAACGCACCAACTCTGGAGAGATAGTGTGAGAGTTGTTTACATCCCTTGACTCTGATAAAAATATTGGTGAATGAACCACTTAGTAATACATGTTTGAAGCTGTTACCTAGAGAAAAGCGGAGCTTTCAAACAGTTATCAGGTAAGAAGTAAGACTATAATTTCAGATCTTATAGCAGTGGCACAATGAAGACAGCAGAGCAAGCACTGGATAAACTGGGACCATGCACTAAATGCTGCAGTTCTGAGACGCACGTGTCACCCACTGACAGGGAGGCACATCCCGGAATTTCTAACTGAAAGGTGAGAAAACTGTTGCCCTACACAATTGAACATGCTTGGGAAGGTAACAAAGCCCAACTTGGACGTGAACTCAGGCAACCTGGCTACAGGCCTTCAAAGCTCATCCCATGCTGCCCACACAGCATAGCGCCTAACTCACACAGCCTAGGCGTCTGTTTGCATGTCTGTAAAATGAGGCAGTAAATTTACTGTGCCTTAGGGAACTGTATTCGCTCATAATGAAGAAGTTTCTCCTCCAAACAGTGGCAGAACCAGCCTGGAGTTCTAATTTTCCACACAATCTGCTAAAGTGAAAACCCAAATCTAAGATGTGTCACTCTGAGGTCTTTCAGAATTAACATAATGAAATAAACATCACTCTTAAACATTAGGTACTCACTAACATTCAAATGGTGAGTCTGTTGCAGATTCTGCTTGATGACCTAGGCACAGGTACCAGATTTACACTACACAAACATTCAAACAAGGCTGCTTCATGCAAATGTGGATGTGTTTATTTCTTTTATGAGACCTATATAAATCAATTTGACCCACTGGTCTTTTAAAAAACTCAAGAATTAAATGCAGCGTTCAAATGCTTATGAATATGTTCTCAATTCCAGAGAACATTTATTTTTCTGCTTCTTATAATTAGTTTTTAATCCTTATTTTGTCCTCAATACTACATTTTTCTGTAATGTAGGCTCAGTTCTGTTTTAAATTCTAAAAAAAACAGACTGCTCCTATATTGAATTGAATAGGCACATCCATAAAAAGAAAAACAAACACATGGGAGAGGAATACTCACTACACATTTTTAATTGTCTTTACTGATTTGGATAAAGAAAAAGTGTTTACTGTCTCGAACTTAAATTATATGGTAGAAGTGACCCAGAATATTCCTGTACATCAAAGCTTAAACTTACATTCAACTTGTAAAGTTAAATGGAAGACAATGTTCCTACATCTAAGCATGAAAAGCTAACCTAGAAAGACTGCTCCAGGGAGCAGATCTGCCCACACCACATTTAATGCTGCTACAATGTTCGGACAAGTTTAGTTGCAAAAGCAGGACTCACATGTGCATCTCACTGTGCGGGACCACGCATGGCCTGTCCTAAGCAGGAAGGAAGTACATTTTACACATGAATGTTATTCTCTTAAGTCAAAATTAACCTTAAAGGAAACTGTGCAGCCACATTTTCTGATGCTGACATAAGCCATCAGCGATCAGCGGGTCAAGATGGGGTGACCTGGTTCCCTGAGCTCAGTTTACAGGCCTGTCTGCTGACAAGGCAGCTTCCTCCAGCCCATCTCTACCCCAACAGAGCCACTGTCAAGCTGTCAGCCAAGCGAGGGGACTAAGAGACACTGGGATCTGATAAAGGCAATCCTATTTTCTGGAAAATTAAACCAAATAACCCAGTGTCGGATTCATTTGGCCTTTTATTTTCTCTCAAAACATCTTTAAATAGAATAACTCAATAAGCAACTGGGTACATGATCACAGGTTTGTTATTGTTTCTAATCTATTAAAAACTTAAATATGTGCAGCAGTTGAACATCATAAACTTAAATTTAAGAAATAAAAAGGTATTATAAAAGCACCAGTTAAAGAAAACTTGAGGTTTTCAGAAAATGTCCACTATTTCACTAGAACTATATCATCATTTCCTTCAACTTGAGTAAAGCATACACTAAGTAAATATGGAACTGCAACTTCGACCAAAAGATTCCAAATGCCTGAACATGCACTTACATAGATGTCACTGTTAAAAGAGTCACTAAGAATGGAGTGTGTGTGTGTGTCTGTATCAGTATCAATAAGAATGCATTGCTAGGTAAGGAGATCTGAATATGACCTAGCTACTGTGCTTGCTGCTGGCCATGCATGAGACAGGACATTAAAGCCAGAGCAGATAACTCAAACCATTGCCATAAGCAACCACAGAGCAAAGATGTTACAGCCTGTATCCTGAAGTCATTATCATCATCAGTTTCTCTTCTTACAGCCACCTTAAAAGCATAGCCACAGTAAGGTCCAGGCTTGGATAGCTAGGCTGTAGCCTTGTCATGTTAATGTCCCAGACTCTGAGGGTTATGCTTAATTTAAAAAAAAAAAAAGATGGAAGGAGTGAATTATGGTATACTGTTAATTCAAATTCATAAAAATGCCTTCTGCACACTTAGCGTCTATTGACTATCACAAAAAACTTCTGTTAGTGCTACAGTTTAGGTGCTAACTGTCCTCGAGGACCCACATGTGAAAGGCTGATTGCACATGGAGGTACTAAGAGGTGGTGTGGGTCATTTGCGCATGCTCTTAAAGAGAATACTGTCGCTTTGGGTCCCTGCTCTGGCTCCTTTTTGCCTTCTCTTCAGTGAGCTTTGCCATACACTCCAGTGTGAAATGACACCTCATTAGAGGACCAAAGCAACACCCACCCCCAAACCCAGGCAACTTAGAACAAAACCCTCAAACTGAGAGTCAAAATGAACCTTGTTCTTGTAAGCCAATTATCACAAATATTTCATTACAATAACAGAAAGCTAACTTACACAGTGGTCAAACCATATATGTTACATTTAAATTGACTAAGTACCCTGTGGTTCCTTTCTTTCCCTAATTATATTGCAAATAAAAATAATAAAACAATCCCAGCTGCCACAAAAAGACAGCAGGTAAGAATCACTCACTTAGATAACTGAGTCCTACAATAGCATGTTGACTACATCAACACACCGACAACAGTAAATGTCAAAAGCCCGGTTCTGCTTCAGGCTTCCTGGAGTTGCTACAAACGCAAGCAATGTACTGAGCTGCTTTTGTATGGGTCCTGCTGTGGTCTCTTTGTGTACTGTCAAAGGTATCCATTCAATTTTGCCATAATTCTCAAAAGAAGCAAAACATTCACAGTTTTGGTTTGGCACCAAAACCAAGTAACTGTAAATACATGAGCTCCAAGGGCATTCGGGGAAATGGTGATGGAACAGAGGAGCGGAGGAACAAGGGCTCAGAAGGTATGCAGCAGAAACAGCTCTCAAGCTAGAGGCTCACTAGGGAGGCTGAACAACAGCCTGAGACTCTCAAGTGCATAAAGACTTCCAAAGAGAGGAAGGAAACAGCAAAGCGGAAGCCAGGGAAAGAGAAGCCTGGTGCTGAAAATGCTTTTGCAGGCTACGGTAAAGAAGGGTGACGCCAGACACAATGCTTGTTGAGTTTTGACTAAAATAATAGTGACCATATACTGGAGCAATAAACCTAATAAATGAAAAAAAAGTCAAAGAGAATAAAGATTTCAGACTGCATATCTTGTTGGGATCAGCCTAGAACAGACTCGGGGTGGCTCTCCCAAACAGTTCACACAGTGAAGGGAAACAGCAACCACATGGAGCACACCTTGAAGAGAGAGCAGTGAGCTTTGGGTTACCCCCTGCCCCTTTATCTATCCCCACAAAGACCAGACACTGCAGACCAGAGCAGCATCAAATCTACAGAGCCATCTTCAGTCCCGCTCCCCACGCTCGCCTCCAGCAATCCTTGCCTTTTACAGCCATTTCAAGACCAACTCCACACACAGCACGTCAAGGAAAAGGCAGACTGCTGAACAGGCTGAGCACCTTCGACCGGGTGTAGAGGAAAAGACTATCTTTATTTAAGGCTATTTTCAGAAAAGCTATGATTTATGACATCTGAAACCTGTTTCTGAAAACTAAAGACATTAGTTGGCAGCCCCCAAAGTTTATCAAACACTGGAATAAGCAAATGGAAACAAAATGCTTTAGTATGTCCTGTAGGGTGCGTTTCACTTCTGCCCTCGTCTACACAAACATCTTTTAATCATTTTGGTGGAGGCAAACTAATTTACAAGCAAATGTTGGCTCAAGATAGTTGTGGGAAATGATTTTAAGGTGTGTTACTTTTGTCTATGCTGCATTTGTTTAACTCTGTGGAGCTGTGATTCTTTGCCTGTGTAAAACACCTGATAATAAAGAGCTGAAAGGCCAATAGCGAGGCAGGAGAAAGGATAGGTGGGGCTGGTAGGCAGAGAACATAAATAGAAGGAGAAATCTGGAAGACAAGGAGCGAGGAAACACGGAGAGAGGATACAGGGCCCTGCCACCCAGCCAGCCACAGAGTAAGAATGAAAGTGAGATATACAGAAGTAAGAAAAGGAAAAGGTCCAGAGGCAAAAGGTAGCAGGGATAAGGTAAGAAAC